TCCTATTTTTAGTGAGAGGTGTGGCTCTCCTATTAGAGAGTATTGATGTTGATGACCTATATTATGACAAAAGAAAAGAAAACTGATAAAAAACGCGCAGGAGTATATCGTTGTTGCACAAGGGATATACAGTGGTGAGTGAAGGTGTTACTTATGGTAACAATGTAGCCTATCAAAGTTAGTAATCAGTAGTACATAAGATATTATTATGATATAATAACATGATGAGAGAAAAGATTGTATCTAATGAAATTATTATAATTAGAATCAAACTGTTAAAGAAATGATAAGGGGTGTGAGCTAGATATTGCTCCGTTATTGTTGTATGTGGAAGTGTGATATAGTAATTAATAGGTTTTATACGAAGAAATTCCGAAAGTTAACTACATAATAATCCGTTATTTTTGAAGAGAGCTGCAGTTAGTTTGTTAGGGTTGAACATGTAGAATCAACAAGACATAGGCGTAGAAGTGTTTCGCTACAAAACCTTCTCAGGTCATTTCGCGATTTTCAAAGGGGCACGCGAGACAAATATTCGCGATTAACCTTGAAAAACACGACAGAAACCTGATGTCCTCTATGTGGCACAAAGTAGTGTATCAATGTGAAGGGTTATAAAGTGCATGCAAGTAATGTACTACAATGTAGAATGCGGACGGAAATAGAAGCAGTAAAATGACATCTAATTCAAAATAGTACATTTCAGTAAAATAAGAAAACTCACATTACATTGTCTCCATTCCAACAGAATACGCATTTGCAAGCAGAACTCCAAACAATATAGAATATTGGAAGAACCGATGTGAATCCGTTTGAATGGAATTGGTCACCGCAGCTTCGAAGAATATATAACAGTGTAGAAGAGATTATGGTGCGCGAGATAGTGTGTAACTACACATTGAGTGCATGATTTCGAGTTTGCGCGCGCGCGAATTTTAGTTTACAGCCGCTGATGAAAGCTAGTAGTGTTATTGGCTGCATCATGCTGACTGCACAAAGCGCGCCTGAGTTGACGTCTTCACGCGTGGGAGCTCAAGCTATCAGCTGTTGGTGAAAAATGTCCGTGTCTTTCTTTGTCGATAGTTCCCATGATCCATAGACTTTATTGCTCGTCTACTGTATCTATAGAATTATCTTTTATGAATGTAATTAACAAGTGGGATGATTTTTAGGCTATTGTGAGTCTTGTTTGAGGTCGCGTCACTAAATCAGTGACCACTAGAGTTTCGAGCAGGTCGCAAATCAGGTGTGTAACAAAATCTTTTATAATTTTCAAGTTCAAGGTCTTTATAATTGATATTACATTATCAAATTGAAACTAGTGGTAATTGTACTGAATGTGTTTTAAAGTTTGTGCGCGCGGGAAACTCAAGTTTACAGCTGCTGGTGAAAGCTAGTAGTGTTATTGGCTGCATCATTCTGACTGCACAACGCGCGCCTGAATTGACGTCGTCGCGCGTGGGAGCTCAAGCTATCAGCTGTTAGTGAAAAATGACAGCGTTTTCCTCTTAGTCGAAGTGTTCATGACCTTTTCCACTTTATTGTCGTCTACCGATTTTATAGAATTGTCTTTTATGATTGCAATATGCAAAGGTCATGTTTATCTTTTGAAATGTTTTTCTTTCCAGGCTATGTGAGTCTTGTTGAGGTCGCGTCACTTATTCAGTGAACACAAGAGTTTTGAGCGGTCGCAGATCAGGTGTGTAACATCATTCCTTTATATCTTTCATGATCAAGGTCTTTATCATTGATAACACATTATCGTAATCATAACACATTATCATTATCATAATGAATCTAGTCATAATTGTACTGAATAGGTTTTTAGAAAATCAATCCAAGTATGTTCAAAGGTATATTGAATTGAATCTTATAGTAGGCTGAAGAAATACCATTTCAGGAGTATAGAGGTATGATTAAACGCTGTCATAGCTGGATTTTGCGTTGCGGCTTGACGAATTCTTTCAGGTGAGTACATATATGTAGTTGTATTTGCTCTTATTAAGTCTGATATTTATTGAAGCTTTTCTTGTAGTATTCCTTAGGTAGCTATGTGATATAGTATTGATTATTGTGCACGCAATTTTTGTGACCTCCAAATTCTGAATGGTGGTCCTGTAACGAAATATAGATGTTGGACCGTTACCATTTCAGGCCTAAAATCTGGGTGAAGAGACTATTATCAGTATTTTGTTGCTGCATCCGTGGTATCCTGTCATGGAAACTGTAAGTTCCATCTTATAATGGAAGTAGACTACCCTGAGAACCTTTTTACATAAATTGTGAGTCTGTATTATAGATTCCAGGATTTGAAGTACCCAATGTGGACCAGAATGTGCGACAAAATGTTATGCAAGAGCAAGTAAACAGTTACGTTATGTCTAAGCATGTCAAAATATTATTCATGCCCAATCCACTGAGAAAGCCGTTAAAGGAAATTGTGAAGAAATTCATATGCGACGTGGTAAAGTGAGTATGTAATGTAAAATTAACCGAAGTAAAAATACATAAGAGTATAGTACATAGTTTAGGTATGACAACAAAGACGACATAGCTCCTATGGCTTGGTACCGGAGCTCAGGACATAGTGGGGATATAACCACTTTTAGAGTTAGTTTTACAAGTAATTTATTTTTAAGCGATTCATGTATTGTATTAATTATAGTTATTTGACTTTAGGCAGAAGTTTCTTTTCCCTTTTGGGAGCATTTTATTGCCAAAGGTAGGAACAATTTGTCGAACTTCAATAAAGCGAATAATACCAAAATAAAGCTGGTTAGGTGCCAGACATTGAAAAGAGCAGATATCGAAAACTTAACGTAAGTTTATTATTTCTCTTTTCAAACATATTAGATGTTTCTTGTATCTTGATTATTTAGTTTATACCTTCGCCAAAAGATTCGAATCTACTGCATCGAAAAGAATATAGTACCGCCAGACATGTCAGCGAATGGGGCTTTTTTAACGATTAAGGACAAAAGGACGAACAATACATTGGTGAGTTGAATTTCAAGTAGGTAATGTAAAGTATACTAATAACTAGAAGTAATTAA